GGAGCAGAATGCCTTTTTTTCTTGTGGAGCAGCTGGTGGGTTCAAACCCCCAACCTTTTGGTTAGCACCTTGAATGCTTTAACCACTGTGCCACCAAAGCTCACCTCAACATAAAGATAACAAAAATCTTCACAGCTGGATCAATAAGCAGTTATCATGATTGTTCTGGTTACCTAGTGCTGCCCTGACAAGAAATATACCACAAATGGGATGGCCTTAACAGACAGGAGTTTCTTCTTACAATTTGGAGGCTTTAAGTCCAAGTTCAAAGTGCCAGGCTCTAGGGGCTGGGTGAAAGCCCCTCAACCTTGGGCTTCAGCTCTGCCTCCTGCTCCCGGCCCACTGGAGCTAGGGGCATTTTTTCACTCAGACAGCTGCTGGCTGCTGAGGCTGAGAAGCCCCAAGGTTGATAAGTAAAAAGGCATAGTCCCGATGTTACCAAATCACACGGCAGGCGATTTGCAAGCTATTGCATTAAGTCCATTGCAAGTCCCAAGGTTGGCAGAGCACAGCAGTCTGCTGAACAATGACATGGCTACATGCAGGGTCCAAGTGTGCCATAGGCTAGAGACCATTCTCAAAGCTTCTCCTTATATATAGGAAGCAGACCACATACCCAAAGACAGTTACTCAGCTGCTTGTGGCAGATCCCACCATGGAACTGATTGCCAGTCTCATCATGGGGAATAACTACCACCAGCTGCCCAACCACTCAGCCAGGCCCAGCCAAGTTGACACACAAACATTACCACAGTGATAAACAGAGACAATATTGAAGTTCTCAAGGATTTCATTTTACTTGGATGTACAATCAACACCCATGGAAACAATAGTCAGGAAATCAGACAATGTATTATATTGACTAAATCTTTTGCAAAAGACCTCTTTAAAATGTTCAAAAACAAAGATGTCACTTTGAGGACCAAGGTGCACCAGACCCAAGCCATGGTATTTTCAACTGCTTCATATGCATGTGAAAGCAGCACAGTGAGGAAGGAAGACTGAAGAAGAATTGATGCCTTTGAATTATGGTGTTGGTGAAAAATACTGAATATACCATGGATTGTTAGAAGAATGAAAAAAATGTGTCTTGGAAGAAGTGTAGCTAGAATGATCCTTAGAAGTAAGGATAGGAAGATTTTGTCTTCTGTACTTTGGATAAGCACTTATGTACGTTCCCTGGAGAAGGACATCATACTTGGTAAAGCAGAGGCTCAAGGAAAAAGAGGAAGGGCCTCAACAAGATGGGTTGATACAGTGGCCACAACAATTGACTCAAACTTGATAATTAACGTGAGGATGATGCAGGACTGAGCAGTATTTTGTTCTGTTGCCCATAAGGTTGTTATGAGTTGGATCTGAGTTGATGGCACCTAACAACAAAAACAGCCTGACGTGAAGGAGTCGTGGCAGCACAGGGGTTAAGCACGTGACTGCTACCTGAAAGATGGGCAATTCAAATCCACCAGCTACTCCATGGCAGGAAGACTTGGCAATCTGCTCTCATAAATATTACAGCCTAGGAAATTCCATTGGGCAGTTTTACTCTGTCCTATATTGGGCAATCTACTTCTGTAGTGATACCATGTTGGCTACTCAAGGAGGGGTTGCTATGAGTCGGTTCCGACTCGACAGTACATAACAACAACAACATATTATTATTATTCAGAGTCTTATAAGGTGGCTGGGAGCTCTGGTAGTGTGGTGCTTAAGGCATTGGAATGCTAACCAGAAGGCTGGCAGTTCAAACCCACCAGCCACTCCTCAGAAGGAAGATTGGGTGATCTACTTCCCTAGTGATACCGCCTTAGAAACCCAAGAAGGGGTTGCTATGAGTCGGATCTGACTCGATGGCAGTGAGATAAGGTGGCTATGAGTTGGGATCAACTCGACAGCACAAAACAACAGTGGCTGACCTGTGTCTAGTTGTCTTGGGAGGGAGCATAGGCATTAGGGGAGTGGAGGCAATATGATGGGGAGATAGTTTAAACAAAGGAATTTTGATTGGGGTGGTAGAGGGAGAGAAGCATTATTACTTCTTTGAAATATCATTTGGTCCCCATCCATGCACACACACATAGAAGCAGGAACTTAACATGTATGTACTGCAAAGTACTCCCATGAGCTGAAAGGGTTAAGGCATCTTCCAAAGTGACTGGGAATGGTTTGGGTATAGATTGTTCACTGAGTGCAATAGTTGTCAACATGTCAGTTGTTGCTGTTGTTGTTGTTATGTGCCATCGAGTCAGTAAACTCATTATTTTCCCCACCAACTGCCTTGTCTGTGTTTGGCCCATCTAATTAGCCCTTTATCCTCATTACAATAAATGTATTCTCTAATCAATTACCAAAACCAAACCAAACTTACTGCCTTTGAGTCTATTCTGACTCATGGTAATCTCTATTGGGTTACCAAGGCTGTAAATCACTGATATTGAGCAAGCAGACTGCCTCATCATTTTTTTCTGTGGAGCAGCTGGTGGGTTCAAATCACTCACTTTTTGGTTACCAGCCATCAATTCTTTTTGGTACAGTGACTCTGTATTCCTTCCATCTTCTTTTTGATGTTGATGTCATTCAATAATTTGCCCATAGAATCCTTCAATATTGCAACTTGAGGCTTGAATTTTTCTTCAGTTCTTTCTACTTGAGCAAGTTCTTCCCTGTTTGTTTTTCTAACTCCAGGTCTCTGCATAACAACAACACTGGACAGTTTTTTTTTTTATTATAATATTATATAATATTATTATAATACTTTGTTTTCTTAATTGCCCTTTGAAATTTTCTGTTCAGTTCTTTTACATCATCATTTATTTCATACACTTTAGCTACTCGGTTCAAGAGCAAGTTTCAGAGTCTCTTCTGATACCCACTTTGCCCTTTTCTTTCTTTTTAATGAAGATTTCCTTTCTTCATGTTTGATGTCATCTAACAATTCGTCTGGTCTCTACTTCCGCAGAGATACTGTCTTGGAAACCTAAGGAGGGGTCAACCCAAGGAAGGGTCATTATGAGTCAAATTGACTCAACGGCAGTGAGTTTGGTTTTGGTTTTGTTGGTCATTAGTGCTCAATGCATCAAGTCTATACTTGGGATGGTCGCTAAAATCAGGTGGGATATAATCAAAGTCGTATTTTGGTTATCGTGGACTTGTTTTAATTTTCTTCAGCTTCAACTGGAACTTGCATAAGAGCAATTGATGGTCTGTTCCACAGTGCCCTTGGGCTTGTTCTGAGTGATGATATTGAATTTCTTCATTGTTTTTTTTCACAGATGTGGTTGATATGATTCCTGTGTAATCTATCCAATGAGAGCCATGTGTACAGTCACTGTTATGTTGTTAAAAAAAAAAAAAAAGTACTTGGAGTGAATGATCTTGCAAAATACTATCATGTGATCTCCAGCATCATTTATATTATTAAGGCCTTATTTTTCCACCTACCAGTCCTCCCAACTTTCACTTTCCAATCGCCAGTAATTATCAATGCATCTTGATTGCCTGTTTCATCATTTTCAGACTGCAGATATGGGTAAAAATCTTTAATTTCTTCATTAGTAATTTGTGCATAAATTTGAATAACAGTTATATTAACTGGTCTTCCTTTTAGGCATATGGATATTATCCTATCACTGACAGCATTGCACTTCAGGATGGATCTTAAAATGTTCTTTTTGACAATGAATGTGATGCCATCCTCTGATTCCTGGCATAGTAGGCTGATTCAAAATAGCTAATACCAGTCCATTTCACTCACCAGTGCCTACAATATGGGTCTTCAAGCATTCTTTTCATTTTTGATGACTTCCAATTATCCTAGATTCATACTTTGCACATTCCATGTTCTAATTATTAATGAACATTTATTTGCAGGTGCTTCTTTTCATTTTGTGTCTGGCCACAACAGCAAATGAAGGGACAGGAAGTTTTACTCTATTCACGTCATTAAGGTCAACTCTGCTTTGAGGAGGTAGCTCTTCCCTAGTTTATTTTGAATTCTTTCCAGGCTGAGGGTCTCATCTTCCTGCATTACATCAGACAGTGTTCCGCTGCTATTCCTATCCAACAGTCTCCCGCTGTTTTCACTGGCCAGTTTTTTGGAAGTAGATTGCCAGCTCCTTCTTCCTAGTCTTAGTCTTGAAGCTCCTCTGAAACCTGCCCACCATGGGTAACCCTGCTGGTATTTGAGATACCATTGGCATAGTTTCCAGCATCAGGCAACACACAGGCCACCACAGTACCACATATTGACAGAAGAGTAGTGGGACATCTGCTTACAGAGTTACAATACTGTATTTCTTTCGGTGTTTGTTTCTGGCTGTATACTAAGTTCTGAGGAATTAGATACTATATTGTTAACATTTGCATTTCAAAGGGAAGAATAGTACCTGGAACATATTGTTGTTGTTGTTATGTGCCATCAAGTCGGACCCGACTCCTAGAGACCCCTCCTTGGGTTTCCCAGGCAGTATCAATACGGAAGTAGATTGCCCAACCTTCCTTCCGAGGAGTGGCTGGTGGGTTTGAACCACCAGCCTTCTGGTTAGCAGTCAAGTACCTTAGGCACTATGCTAACAGAGCTCCTCTGGAACATATAGACACGCATTAAATATTTATTCAAAGAATAAACAAGAAAAGGAAGGAAAAATAAATTAACTCTTCAGATAATGAGTGCTCTGGTGGTGTAGTGTCCAAGGCATTTGACTGCTAACCAGGAGGTAGCGTAGTGGCTAAGGCACTTGACTGCTAACCAGGAGGCTGATGGTTCAAACCCACCAGCCACTCCTCGGAAGGAAGATGAGGCAATCTACTTCCGTAGTGATACTGCCTAGGAAACCCAAGGAGGGGTCGCTATGAGTCGGGTCTGACTCGAGGGCACATAACAACAACAACAAAGATAATATAAGTGCAATGCCCACGCTGGCCATGAGAGGGCGCGGATGGGCCCGGGCTAATGCGCAGGCGCGTTGGAGGGGCGGGCGCCTCTGAGGCGGCGGCGGTCGCGGCTGTGGCCGGGGGAAGTGAATGGTTTTACCCAGAGGGCCCTGCGCCGCCTTTCTCCGCTGCCAACAGCACTGCTCGCTGCTCCTCCTCCCCAGCCATGGCGTTCACGTTCGCGGCCTTCTGCTATATGTTGGCGCTGCTGCTCACCGCCGCGCTAATCTTTTTCGCCATCTGGCACGTGAGTAGGGGCCGGGGGAAGAAGGGTCAGGCGGCTGCGCAGCCCCTGGTAGCTCCGGGCTTGCGGTCCGGGCCTCGACAGCCACAGGAGGTAGGCGCGCCCAAGGATGCGGCCGGGCCGGGGCAGCGCTGGCCGCACAACGAGGTTCCTCGCGTCCTCCTAGCGCGGGCTGGGGACTACGGTTCCAGGAGGACCCGGGTGTGCAGTATGTAGTCAGACGCATGTGCCCGTAGTGTCCCGGCCCAGGCCGAGTACACCGCTACTCCTCCTACCAGGCTGGGTGGGGCGGTCGCTGTCCAGACAGGCCCGGCGGGATAGCGCTTCTCTTTTACCGGCCCGCATCCCTGCATCCTCCGAGTGGATGTCAGGGGAGCCGAGGGGCATCATACATACTTGGTGTGTATGAAGTTCTGCGAGTTTTTATTGTTTAATTCAGATGACTTTTTTTTTTTTTTGCCGGGTGTCCGCAAGAGTTATGGCCAAAATGAGATAGTTAAACATACTTTAGATTAATTTTCAACTCTGCTTTTCAGCCCTTGTGAGCACTTAAAGTAGAATCACCTTTTTTCGAATTCTTGCTTCCCAGTGAACTTCGATGCAGGTTGGAGTGATTACTTTGCTGCATCTTCGCGCTTGTGATTTAGAGGAACCCTAAATTGTACTTTGACCGCCAGACTTTCTCAAGGGATAGTCTTGCAAGCCGTCTCTGTATTCCGGATACTTTGATTTAGTAGTTGTTGTTGTTGTTGTTATGTGCCGTCGAGTCGGCCCCGACTCATAGCGACCCCTCCTTGGGTTTCCGAGGCAGTATCACTACGGAAGTAGGATTGCCCAGCCTTCCTTCCGAATTTAGTAGAGGGAATTTTAATTTACTTTTGAAAATGCTCCGAAACTTTAAGCTTTTGTGGAGCAGTTTTACTTCATGTTACTAACATTATGTTGCAAGAGAGAAGCAAATCCTTACTGCTCTTTTTAAGGAATAAATTCTCTGTGACAGTTCTACAAGAGATTTTTAAGGATTACTGTTTCTCTGGCACAAACTTAGAAGTGTTGAGAACCCTCTGGAGATCAACATTCATTAAAAATTTATCGCATGTCTTCTGTAGTTTCCATATTCCAGTACATTCTGGAATATTGGTCCTAATTTGAATGATTGGGCATGTTTTCCCTGAGGTAAATACAAATCAGGTTTCACCATTCCCTTTAACAAGCATTTGCTTATGGAACACATAGAGGGGAGAGTAATTTAAATGGCAGGAGTGTCTTGTGTCAAAAAGGTCTCGTAAGTGCAGAAATATCACAAATTCATTCCTTTATGCTAAAGAGTGTCATCAAGTTTGTAATTATTTTAGAACCTGACTGCTTGTATAGTGGGAAATGCTTGTGCAGGCTGTTAACTGTTTTTTCAAAATGCTTGTTATTAAGAAGGCTGCCTAGTTTCTGAAGCTCTTCTTTAGTGGAAGAACAATAAATAATTTTGGGTACAAACCAGCCCTGCCTTAATAAGGGTGGTGTGAAATGCAGTGTGTGGTTCCTTCCTAGCTATAGAATTCTGTAGATGTAGCTTTAAGACTCTCAGTATGACAGGTGCTTCTTGTTTTCTGGGATGGTGGGAATTTGTGGAAGTGATCTGTGGAATGGCCTTTTTTTTTTACATTTTGAACTCGGCCCAGATTGTGTTTGAGTTAAGGAAAATCCAAAATTTACTTTTTAAGTGGATAATTTAGTTTCTGCTTTGAAATGAAGAGTATGTTTAGGTGAAGTAGATAATTTTAAGTCCTATTATTGAATTACAAAAAAAAAAAAAAAATTGTATAGATGCCACAGATTAGTGGAGAGCTTTTATGTTTAGTGGTTTCTTAGTGATTCAGAGGATTACTGTTATTCCTTTGGGAAAAAATTCTAAATAGTTTTAACTTTTCTATTATCCACCTAACCATAACCCTTTCATGACTCATGGGATATACAGCACCCACCTAAATTTTCCTCCTCTGGGGTTTATTGGGTATCTGCTTTCCCACTGATAGTGCATGCAGCTGTCAGAAAGGGACCCGTATAACTGAAATGGAAAAAATGGGTGTGTGCTGCAAATTGCTGTTTTCGCAGGGTATTGTATGAAGTGATGCATCCTGGAGGTGTAATTTTGCAAAACTTTTGTCTCTCTTGTCTTTTTTACTGGGAGATAAGCCTTCTAAGTATATTTCTGGGTACCTGTGTGTTATTTGGAAGTTGGCTTTCTCATGATGATTCCATGTTCACATGAATGCCACATTTTCAGGTACCCTAAATGGTATTCACCTGTCAAGGTGGTGCAGGGTCCATAGGGACATATGTATCCACATAATTTTATCCCCTAGAATCCAGAGTAACAAGTGTGTCCTACATAATTCCATCCCACAGTCCAGAGGGACATATGGGTCCCTCATAATCTGTAACAAAATCTCAGAAATTGTCTTTGATTCAGCATGCCTTCCATTAATGAAAACACATGGTATCACCAAAAAATTCAAAGTGGAAAATAATTGGGTCATGAAAGGTTAAATTTATTTTCATATCTAGTTTATGTATCTTATCAGAAGATTCATTTAGACATTTCAACTATAAATTCCAAAAATCTTATTTACATTAATCATTGTATGCAGGATTTTATTTTATGCTGATGGTTATATCTACCAGCTTAGTCCTAATGCATGTATGTGCTTAATGCTCTGGAGAATAGACTTGAGAGTATAGACTTTTTTGAAGGTTAAAAATGATGCAGAAGTTGTTCCCTAAATGCTTGTATCGAGTTTGAAGTTATCCTAGATTGCCACTGAGTTGATTCCAACTCATAGCAACCCTGTAAGGTAGAGTAGAAATGCCTCATAGGATTTCCAAGATTGTATGTCTTTACAGAAGCAGACTGTCACATCTTTCTTCCTGTGGGGTGGCTGGTTTGAACTACTGACCTTTTGGTTAGCAGCCAAATGCTTTAAGAAGATAGATTTACTTTTTTTTCTTTTCTTTTTTTAAAATTAATTAATTAATTAATTATATTGTGATTTGGGTGAAGGTTTACAGAACAAATTCACTTTCCATACAGCGGTTCACATATACTTTGTCTCATGACATTGACCACAGTTTACCACAATGCAACAGCTCCCCTCCCACTTCCTCCCCATAGTTACCTCTTCCCTGTGTCCATCCCTCCATGCACTCCTGCTCCCTGAGCTGTCTCCCTGTGCATAAGCACCCCTTCTTTTTCCCATGATTGTTCTCTCCAAGGAGTATATCTAGTTGAGGTAAATGTTCTACTCATATGCCTGTCTTTTGTTTGGCTGGAAACCACAGATGTGGGTTCAGTTCCAGACCTGAAGGGCAGTTAGGGGCCATAGTCTCAGTGGTTCCACCAGGCTCTATCAGACCAGCAAACCTGGTCCCCCCCTTTTTTTTTCTCCAATTGATTTTGAGTTTTGTTCCACATTGTTCCCCTTCTTTATCAAAGATCTCCTACATAGATCCCCTTCCAAGTGGATGACAGTGGTAGCCAGCACCATCTAGTTCTTCTGGTCTCATAGTTGTATAGGCTGCAAATGGGATGGTGTACCAGTCGCTAGGACTAATTGTTTCCATGAATTTTGGTTTTCTTCATTCTTCTTTGGTCTGGACAAGGAGAGACCCATTGTTACATCTAGATGTCAGCTTGCTAGCTTTTTAGATCCCAGTCGCTACTTGCCAAAGTAGGAGGTGGAACAATGTTTTGTGTAGTATGTTATGCCAATTGAGCTTGATGTCCGCTGCAACTATGGTCCTGAGCCCACATGTTCAACTACTTGGTCCCTCTGGGTAGCTGGCTGTGACCAAGCTGTGACCACAACCTTGCCCTTTGTCAGCTCTATGATACACCTGGGAATTCTGATCATTCACATAAACTTATAGGACCATTGTCTGCCAACCCTATATATGATCTTGGATGTACTTCCCATTTCATAGACATACCTAATTGTTACCTGTCCACCCATCTATCCACCCATATACCCATGTTAGCCTTCACTGACAGTGCAGTACTGTATGTGCAAAAGGGTTCATATTTGTTGTCTGTCCCTCCCAAGTACCTCTCTATGTCTTTCTCATCCTCAATGCTGCCATATTGGTCACTCACATTTGGTACATTGCCCTTCTCTTCACCCAAAT